ACTCCATAAGTGGAAGCTGCACATGCTGCTCTTAAAAAATATTTACAGTGTCTACAGGTAAGAATAGTAAATTATTTAGGCTTGCTATTATAATTATGATTATTTAAAATTTAAAAAAAAAATTGTAATATCTATCCTTTATCCAGGTAATCTTGAGTCTGTGTACTGAAAAATTATATTACAAATAGAGGCTCAAGTAAGAGAAATTTATGCAATAATTTCCTCTTAATACATAAAAGTACAACATGCACACCAGATCCCTTTGTTTGAACCTCTTCTATACTGTATTTCTGCTTTTGCCCTAAATAAGATTCAGAATAAGTTAATCAAAGTGTCAAATGCAACCTCTGATTTTTCTCTAAAACCTTGTACAGGAATTTTTAGATCTACAATGAGGCTCCCTTGTTCGTATATGATTAATGAAAATCTAGTAACTGACCAAGCATTACAGCAAGCTGATATCCACAAGCACTGGTGGATTCAGGGCCATCATATAGAATTTCTGAAACCTCCTACCTTATAAATAATGATTGCATCAATATTGAGCCTCTTCTTCAATATCTTGCACAAAGATACCAACATTGGCCACCACATCAACAAGCTGTTATCTATTCTTAGCTAGAAGAATTGGCAAACACATCTCCTGTTGTTTTAGAAGATCTGGTTATTAGTAAATCTCGAGGAAGGCCAGTTGACGCTAGAAACAAGAACAAAAGAATGATGCAAAGAGAACTATCTGAATTTGAACATGTTAAAAAATGCACAAGGCAATGTAGTATATACTACCAAATTGGCCACAACTGTTAAACTTGCCCTAATGCATCTAATTAGCACTTATCTTGTATAATTGCATATATTTAGACTAGTGCTACATATATTTACAGATTTAAATTTAAATAAACTTGTTTGCTTTGAATACATTAGATTCTATATATAGTATAATAGTCAGATATGATTAGTGTTCGAAATTAGTATTTTCATGGGAACAACAATAAATTTGTACAC